GCACGAGAGTTTCTTATAACAGGGCTGATACCTTGGCAAGCCATACTATTACACTACTATAGCATTGGGGTTTCCTGGCTACTGAAACCATGCCACCCGCTGATAATAATATAATATATTCTAAGAGATGCGGAGGGAAGAAATAAAAAATGGTACAGTGATAAGTTTCCCAAAAGCATCGCGTGAGCTCTTGTATCTGCTGACACATGATTTCCCGCGAGCTGACAAACATTTGCATTTCCGATTTACAAGACCGGGTCGTGCAATCAAAGCACATGGCAAAGCGTCATTGCTTGTTTTACCCGGCGCTAATGAAATCCTATAAAACATGCCCAGGAGGATTGAAAATATATTTTCAAGGAGCAATGGTGTTAATTAAACAATAAATAATTTTTTTTAAAAAAAACAACTTCCCATATAAGTATGTCTGCATGAACAAACAAAGGGAGAAAGATTGCTAGGAGTATGTTGGACGATTCTTTCACTATCTTGATGCGCTTAAAATAAATAAGAGCACTATTGTACTTTGGCTGTCAAATCCATGTTTGTTTGTTTGTTTGTTTGTTTGTTTGTTTGTTTTTGAGGAAGGGCCTTGTTTGCATTTATGATGCATTAAGCCAGAGAAGATTTAGGCTGAAACAGATGAGTGGGTGATACAGGTAGTCCTGGATGACTGATCCAACCGGTCAGTCCTAGAGGAGATCAAGCCTGACTGCTCTTTAGAAGGCCAGATCCTGAATAGGAAACTCAAGTACTTTGGCCACCTAATGAGAATGAAGGATTCCCTGGAGAAGAGCCTCATGCTGGGAAAGATTGAGGGCAAAAGAAGAAGGGGACGACAGAGAATCAGGTGGCTGGATGGAGTCACCAAAGCAGTCGGCGTGAGCTTAAATGGTCTCCAGAGGATGGTAGAGGACAGGAAGGCCTGGAGGAACGTTGTCCATGGGGTCACAGTGGGTCAGACACGACATCGCAACTAACAAGTCCTCAACTTACAACAACAATTGAGCCCAAAATATATATTGCTAAGTGAGAGATTAATTGAGTTTTGCCCCATTTTATAACTTTTCTTAACCACATTTGTTAAGTGAACCGCAGTTATTAAATTAGTAACATGGTTGTTAAGTGAATCTGGTTTCCCATTGACTTTGCTTGTCAAGAGGTTGCAAAAGGGGATCCCACAATCCCAGGATACTGCAACTGTGATAGAGATGAACCAGGTGTCAAACATCCGAATGTAAATCACATGGTCGTGGGATGCTGCAACAGTCATAAGTGTGAAAAATGTCGTAAGTCACTTTTTTCAGCACTGTTGCAACTTTGAACGGACACTAAACGAACTGTTGTAAGTCGAGGACTACTTATGTTGATGATGTCTCATCTTGAATCTGATTTGCAAAGCTTCCCTTGCGAAGGTGATGAAATTCAGGGTGTAGGTGATGTATAAAGATAATATAATTGCCATCATGAAGGGAATCATTGCGGGTCATTAAATGAGAATACTATGTCTTGCTGGCTTGATTTTGGTCTGTAGGAAGCTAGCAAAGAAAGTTGCAATTGGTAATCACATGACAGCAGGATACTGCGATGAAGGAGGGAAGGAAGTGTTCTGATTTAGGCTTCCTGAGAAAGCATAAATCACAAGCTTAGTCCCCAAAACACTCTTTTATTTATTATGGTCATTCACAGCCTTCAAGGCTTCACAAACAGTCTGTGAAGATTCTGACAGATGTCTGCTTGAGTTGCCACAGTCTTTCAGGAGAATGTTGATAAGCACCCAGCTTATCTCCCTTTAGTTTTGCAAGGCCAAACGTAGCACAGAGTCAAACACAACCTCTCAAAGCTTGAACCGACCAGATGAACTAATTACTTCCTGGAAAGGCTCACGTCCCGTTTGCTCCCCTTCTGTGTCTCATGGGAGGGGCCAATCATCTCCAAGTCTTACTCCCGAGTTGACTCTGTTTTCTTAATTGTTCTTGCCTTCTGGCAGCTCTGTGCATGTGCACACTGGGAACAGGCTCCCACTGCTCTTCTGCTTCACTGATGTCCAACTCTGGAGGCAGCACATAACTACCAGATGGCCTTGGCCCCCTCTCTGTCTCTGACACAGAGCCCTCATCCGAGTCTTCCCCAGACTCCAGGACTGGCCCATGTTCCTCCCCAACCTCCTCACTGTCCGACTTTGCTGCCAGCTCCACAGGCCGCCGGTGGACCACAACAGGAAGGAAGGAACGGCTCTTGTTCCTTGTTCCAGCTTCTGCCCACTTAGCAATTCGAAAGCATGAAAATGTAAGTAGACAAATAGGTACCACTTCAGTGGGAAGGTAACAGCTTTCCGTGTTATATCACACGTTTTCTACTGCGGCAGGATGTGCTGGCCACATGACCTCAGAAACATCTTTGGATACCGCTGGTCCCTCAGCTAAGAAGCGTACATGGCCACCCCCCTCCGCCCCCAGATGAGCACCGCAGCCCTAGAGGCGGACATGACTGATTTTAGCTGGGGAACCCAAGTTTACAGTATCTTTTTCTAAGACAGAGGTCATTGCAGGACAGCAATGCAATATCTCAAAATGAAAAAAATCCTTCCCTTCAAAGCAACTGCTGTAATCACATGCAAATTTAAATAAATTCCATTAGGACATTTCATTTTAATGGTTTCGCTGACCAAGATTTGTTTAATTGAATAACTTTAATCAGGCACATTTTCTTTAATTGGACAAAAGAGTTTTGGATTTTAGTGGGCCAGCGGCCAAAGCCAATCGGGGAAGTTTTTAATGTGAGAATCTAATATGGGACACATAAAATGTGATGGGTAATAGTACACTTTCCCATCTATAACTAGATTTTATTTTCAGTCCATCATCTCCTCCCAGAGACCCAAACCCCTAAATGTCAAACATCACTAATATGTTTAAGTCAATGAAGATCTGTTTAATGTTTCCGAAACTGCATTTTTATAGTTGTACAGTTAATCCTCGACATACAACAGTTCGCCGGCACTGAAAAAAGTGACTTGTGATGGTTTTTTCACACTTAACAACCGTTGCAGCATCCCCATGGTCATGTGATCAAAATTGATTTGATTGATTTGATTTGATTGATTTTATTACATTTATATGCCGCCCTTTTCCCCAAGGGGGACTCAGGGCGGCTCACAATTCAAATCAGGGGAGGGGGGTACAGACAAGNTTGGGCATAGTTCTTTTGCAATTATTATATAATTCCCAATAAGTAGGAAATTAAGTATACATCTGAAAATAAGCACCTGAGGCCTAAATAAGGATATGTTATCTATGAGAGCTAGATGGTGCACTGTCTCTCCAACCAATATTATTAACACAGGTTTTTTTAAAGGTTGAAATATCACCAACTTTCACAAGGTTTTGGCATTGTGGTGTGAGATCATAGAAAAATCTCATGAGATTTTGCAATTTAAAAAGATATCAAATGATTTGTTTTCCTGAAAAAAAACACCAGATCATCATATTTGATGCATGGTGATTGAAAGGACATTTTCTCTCCAGATGTTACTAGGTGCAAGTTAACTTTAGCTATAGTTATTAGATGCGGTTTGTGTGCTGTTTTACTATCTTACATTAAGTATCAAATAAAAAAGACAATGTTTAGTTAGAACACCTTTCTAAAAATTACATTTTTAAAGTTATAATATTATAAAATTGAAACGGGTGGTTTAGGCCAGAGTCCAAAACACTGCTCAGTACAGGAATCCAAAGTAAAACATAAAGTGAACTGAGTGATTAGTGCTCTCAACTGACCTTCATATACAGCTGCAGTGGTACAGATGTTTCCCAACTAAATATGAAAGATATCAACATGCATGGAAAAGGTCCCTATTATCTTTTCAGGTAAATAATTTGGCTATTTACATTCAACCTACATCCTTGTGGAATCCCACTATATGAATCCTAAGCAAGTTATTAACTGATGATTTTACCTAGTTTGGGTACTGAAACATCTGTGAGAAAACTTAGACAGCACCAAGGACCCCTCATAAGCAAGTTATGGCTGCATGGCAAAGGGAAAACAAAGGATTTAAAGACTGTATAAAAACCACAATCAAATAAGCTATGTTATGAAAGTAAGTGTGAGAAACATAAAAGTAATGTCCTTATAGCACTTCTGGAAGCAGACTGGGGATTTATCAATGCACACCTTTTTACGAAGCACTTTAATTCCATGTTTTAGTTCTTTTCTCTTTTCATCAAAACTGTCAGTTTCATCCTTGATTGCCTGAAATTTCACAACAGACAGAGGAATGGAAACACTGCAATTTTTGACATACAAAGCAAAAAAAGGTATACCTGCATTAAAATGGGAAAACTACATTTTGTAAAAGTCCGTAGAGATTCTCAGTCATCATGGTTGTCCCAAAGATGCTTTTTTAGGAGGCAACTGGACTTTCTTGTTTTTTTTTTCTTTGAGGACATTTCACTTCTCATCCAAAAATCTATATTTTGTAAAGTCAAAAAAACAACAACAACCAACCACTATCCCCTACTACAGTGATGGGCAACCTTTTTGGCGTGGTGTGTCAAAAATCGGCAAAAAATCGAGCAT